ACGTCGTTAATGAGAGCAAGTGATGATTGGTCGGGATGCAAGGTTTAGTCATACGTTTCTAAGAGTCAAAATCACATAACGGGGACTATCGTAACAGTCAGAGATATTGTGTATTTTGAGCAGGGGCGTAATTTGCGGGGGGGACGGGTGGGACATGTCTCCACCGCTTTTTGCCAGGGTCTATATTGTCCCCACCACTTTTGAAACATCTCGCGGCACGGATGTGACTAATACAAATAAATAAAATACCTCCAGTTAACTAGCAGAGAGCATTCTGCAGTTGCTGTGAACCACGTACAGTAAATGTCGTTTTCAGAATTAAGGCTAGGCCGAAAATGCTTAATATGTTCAGTGCTACACCAGGGACTGAAGACAACCATTGTTCTGCAGACACAACTCCAAATTACTTAATGCTCGTAAAAATCATCATAATTTTTTTTTTTTAAATATATAAACTTCATCTTTTCAGTCATTTTGACGGTTTTCCTCAGTCTGAGTGGTTCAAAACTTGTGTCCTTTAAATATACAAGTTGAACAAAAAATTACTATTTAAAATTAGGATAACCTTCAATTTAAATCCCTCGTCTTTTTTTTTTTCTTTCATTTTTCTTAAGCTTAATAACGATTTGATATATGATGGCAACGCAAACCAACTGGTCCATCTTAAGACAGGCTCATTTCAAATTCTTTTTAACTCGCATTAAAAACGTGACGCTGAATTCTGGTCAAGCCGATAGATTGAACATTCTGTGAATATTTGTGTGTCCATCACGAGATAAAGGTTCTTGAGGCGTTTGCTCTGCTGTTTTGTTTTGTGCAGATATGGATGAGCTCGACAGCGGCTTTGACATCACTTCTCTGGATAAATCTAATATGAGCAGCTCCTCGGAGAGGTGAGAACGCATTATCAATATCAACAGCGCTTTTGCACTCTAATGGGCATTTAAATCGGCTTGAATTGTTTGCCTAGTTTTGTTTACTGCTAAAGTTTTTGAATGTAAAAGTTTCCTGAAAAAAAAAAAAAAAACGTTTCCATGCATGATTATATTTTATGTAGGCAGAAATGCATGTTTGCCGTTAGTTGCATTTCTCACTGTTGCTGACTTCTGGTTGGTTTATTTGTAACTGTTAGGGGTGTAACGATACCCTCGATTCGATTCGATTCGATACATATCACGATACTGAACTCAATACGATATTAATAGGCTTGGACTTGGTGCTGAAAACCCAATGCACAGGACAAAAGAGACACCAGAATAAAAATATTCATGATTCTGAAGCTGAAAATAAAGAATTATTTTAGATGAATATGCTTGCACGCTGTCACTGACTAGACACTGACAGCAGAGACTTTTTTTCATAAGAAAACTTATAAAACAAACGTGCCAATCCAGCTCTTAGTAAATTTTTACAGGAACACAACAGAGAGAATCACAGTGTGGTATTCCAGCTGCACAACAGAAAACCCACGAGCTTTGACCCGGATCGTCAAAACTGCTCAGAGGATCATAGGAATCAAACTACTCGATTTGAGTGCGATTTCATGGTGAATATGGTGAATAATCGTGCAGCCCTAGCAGCTTTTCTGCAGCATAAATGCATGTTTCTATGATTTCTCCTCAACTCTCGCCAAGCGTACCAGCTGGCCCTGAAGGTGGCATCTCTGGAGCGTCAGCTGGACGCTAAGACTCAGTGCTCATCTCCTCTGTTCTGCGTTTGCTCTGAGGTCCAGCTGATGGTCTCTGAGCTGAATAACAAGCTGGCGGAGCTGTATTGTCAACTGGAGACGCAGTTTCAGGAGAGACGGAGAGCTGAGGAGAAGAGCGCCGCACTGGAGCTGAAGAAGCCTTCAGAAGACCTCCTGCGCTCACAGAATGAAACCTGTGAGCGTGAACGGGTACGACCAGAGCTCTAGTCCTCACAATGCACAATGCTTCTGTTTTATTCATATTAGGGATGTGACTGAGGATATTACCCACCGGTTAATCAGCGTGTGACCTCACCGCGAGGGCTTTTAAATCGCTATTTTAAAGGTAAAATGCAAACGTTAGATGGACGTTTTTCCATAGGAACTGAACTGAAAACGTTCTGCTCGCTCCGCAGGTGCGCATCTTAGTTTCTCTTTCATACTAGCGCCAATTCGGGGGCAGATTGCTTGAATGTTCTCACCTATTATTCTCAGTGAAAAACACTGTACAAAAACTGTACAATGACTAATTCGCTTTGACTCCAAATATTCCTCCATCTTGTCAGTCAGCTCCTCACTCTCGTGATTAATGAAGTCTGCGACACTCGTACAGCTCATGATTCATTAAACAGATGTGTTCAGTTTTTAATTGTAGTGTCTGTTTTGTAACTGAACTAAATAATTGTATTAAAATAAATAAATCAAATCGACGGTGAGGGCAGTGGGCAAGTGATGTAACTGGTGTTGCTTCTTAACACGTCAACACCGACTATCAGAGCAAGTCTAACCCTATCCCATTCTGCAGTGATGTTTTCTCTTTTATTATTGATTAAAATGTGTTTTGTGTGTTCATCTGAAGAGAGATCTGGAAGAGGCCATTCAGCTCCGTGAGATTGGTTTAAGCAGGTGAGTAAACATCATAGAATATTCAATAATATTTAGAATATTCAATAATAGTTTATAATACAAGTTTTAAATATTATAAAACTTTATAAAAACTACTAATAATAATATTTAATACGTTCATGGTAAAACGAGCCAATTATCGTATTGATATCGTCAAAGGCGTCTGCCGTCGGCGAAATCTCAGACTATCGTTGATACACGATACCTCACAGATGCGAGTCGTACTCGATCGCACAATGGAAGTGAATTGAGCGCTGAAGATGCGCTGGATTCAATCGTAGAATTGTGAATAAATTCTAGCCATTTCATTCTTAACCAGCGTACAGTTGGAAAACGCAATAAAACGAGCGTTTAAGCAACCGAATGCACACACAGACTCCAACACATTGCTCTGTCAACGCACCAAATCCAGCATCGGATCTTTTATTGAAATGACATTCACTTTTTAAAGTGCATTACCTTTTGAAACTATTGCTCTTAAATAAAATATTTCTTTAATGTGCATGCAAGGAAAATGAGGTTACAACAGTGCATAAAATTGTAACCTGAGAAAAGGGGTAGCCAATAACAAAACAGGCCAATCTCACTCATCCAGAATCCCAGAATAACCAGTAGCGAGTGCAGCCTTACGGAGAGACTCGGGAAGAGTTTCTGAATGTTAGTGGAGACATTTATGTAGTTGTTATGGAGGTACATTGATCATCTCATCATCATGTTGAACTTATAAACACCTCAGGAACTGTGGACACTTGTGTAGAAGACAGCGCTGACACGTTCTGGGGCCGTATTCACAAAGAATTTTATCTTGCCAGGAGCACTCCTAAATCGCACTAAAATATTTTAGCTAGGAGTTTTCTCTTAAAAGTTAATCAAAACGCCTTTCAGACCTACTCTTAGTGAGGGAAAATGACAACTCCTAAACTAAGAGTGAGTCTTTGTTGCTATGGATGGCGTCAATTCTCATGCACAAGTTTTCTTGCAATGATCACGGTGATTGGTGGTTAGATGACAGGGCCATCATGCAACATAAAACAGACGCAACAAATCATGGAATTATTATGGAATTATTAATCTAATTATGTCAGTTATAGGTATGTCCCCAAATGAGTTTTTGTCTTATATTTGCTGACGCGTCAATGCACGCTTTGGCTAGGTGGTGTTTATAGCGTTAGATTCTAGAGAGCATTTGATTGGACACAATATGTGATGAGAAGCTGAAGTCTGCAGTGATGTCGTAAAAATCCCTGATCCATTTTAGCAGAAGTGAGAGACTTAAGTTTTGAATGCTTTTAGACATCATAAAGACACAGAGATATTTGTTTACTCCTTAACCCGTATTCATAAAGAATCTTCATGCAAAGAGTAGCTCCTAGTGACAATTCTTAGAAATGTGGGCGTTTACTCTTAAAATTAAAGAAAAAATCCTAGTAGTAATTCAGAAAGAATCTTACCTTAAAAGAGGTCTTAAGGTCAAAATTGTTAGGAGTACGGATGAGGACTTTTAAGAGGCTTAAGAGTTTCTTTAGCAAGGAGAACAGAGAGAGGGAGAAGACATGTGTTGCCATGGATGACATTGAGTTAATAAGATGCTATAGACGAGATCGTGCCGGGATCATGTTTGTGACAGAGATATTAACGTGTCTCTAATAAGATCAGACACAGCACAATGCCATAACGCCAGAAATGAAAGTAATCACTACATTAATATATTTGGCAAATGGGAAAGTGCAATAAAGCAGCAGTGATTTGGCTCTGTCACAACCTTCTGTAAGCAGTGATCACACAAACATTACAGCACTTTCAGAACCTCTTATTGTGTCACAGTTCATTTAGTTTCCACGTCTGGACATTCCCACCTTGCAGGCTCAAAAAACTGCAGTTATGAATGTAGCAGGCTTCCCTGGTGCGCACAAGCAGGGGGAATGATCGGTTAATAATGTGCGCTATAAGCTCCCACGTCCGCTTCTTGCCCGGTGCTGTGACACCCGGGCCAAATTTTCCTTTATGGCCTAGTGTTCATCCACTAACTGGGCTAACAGTAAACACGGTTCTTCTGTCCAGTCGGGCTTTCTCGTCTTTCTTGTTTTCTATATTAAAACCAACATTCAGACCAAATAGACAGCAATCAGTGTAATTTGAAATTTTTTTTATCATTCTAAGCTAATCAAATACTTTATAGGAAATTTAAGAGCAAGGTAAAAAAAAAAAAGGATTTGTGTACATAAATATAATGTGTTTGTGTGTGTAAACTCTATACTTCAAATAACTTTTTCATTTTACCTTCTTGGACAACCAACCAATCACAGTCTTCAAAAGATTGTCACGCATAGCAACGGGGTCAGCCCCGCCTCTTCACTAGTTTTCATCTTTTCCTTACTCAGAGTTGCTCTCAGATCGGTCCCGAATCGGTCTTAAGCTAAGACTCCTATGTAAAAGGCCCAGTTATGTAAATAAAGGTCTCCTTTAATTCAAGAAACTGTATCCCTAATAAATATATACAGTTTGCTTGCTTTATTCATATTTCAGAAATGCTGAAATAATTACATTTCTTTTAGTTTTGCATTTGTCTCAAAAGAGAATTGAGTTTGTTTCATAATGTATAGTTTTCCAGTATGGAAGCTTGTTTTCACCATGGAATAAAAAAGAAGATTTTTTTCCCCTTCCTAATTTTGAGATTTAATCTTGCAATTCTAAGAAAGTCAGATTTGATTAATAGGTTGCAGTTGTGGAAGAGCGAGCTGGGGATGGAGAGAGACATGATGGAGATGGATGCGTGTTAACACCAGAACACCAAGAATCCTCAGCAGAGAACCTAAATGAGAGGTGAGTAATGGCTGCTAATTTACAGAGAGAGGAGAAAAAAAAAACTATTGGTGATTTATGCTAAAATATATAAACAATTAATACTCCGCAACAGCGACGAAAAATGATGATGAGTCCTTTGAAGTCCCGATGAAGAAAGGCCATGCAAAAACATCTGCTGATGAATGTGCTGTGTAATTTTTATTATATGTTTTGTAAAAAAAAATCAGAATGTCGTAACTGTTGTTTGTTTCCGTATCAGTGAAATACTTTCTATCTCTGTAGTTCCAATAATGGGTTAGAAGATCCCCTTTGCGAAAGTCCAGCACAACCCAGCCAAACTATGGAAGTTGTAAGTAACAGTATTTATTATTGTTATTGTTTTTTTGTGTGTGTGTAACATGAGAAAATGTTGATGTATTGTCAGAAGATTTTTTTTCCCCTTCCTAATTTTGAGATTTAATCTTGCAATTCTAAGAAAGTCAGATTTGTGAGAGAAAAAGTCAGTTACCTTTTTAATTTTTTCTTTATTCTGTGGCAGAAACAAGCTTCCATACGCAAAAAAGGTTCAAAAGACTTTGTTTAATTTTTCTAATTGTTTGTCTGTGATGTATATACATTTACACACACAGAATGGATTTTGTTAATGTAACTGCATGCTTGTGTATGTTAAAGGATTAGTTCACTTCAAAATGAAAATTCTGTCATTTACTCACCCTCAAGTTGTTTCCATCTTATGAATTTCTTTCTTCTGTTGAACACAAAAGAAGATATTTTGAAGAATGTCGGTAACCAAACTGTTGATGGGCCCCATTAGGGGTGTAATAAAAAATTGATACTCTTGAGTATCGCGATATTTTATTGTGCAATACTGTATCGATTTTCAGAAACACAATATCTTTTTTTTTTGTGGCTATGCACACAAAAGATGCGCCAGACGCACCACTAGCCTAACGTTTTGCTAGAAACAACATGGCTATGGCTGAACCCAGTGTCAAGACCCGGCTCCTGCTCTATTCTTTTCGGCATGTTAATCAATGAGTGCGTTCATTCACACCGCAAGCAGTAGCCGTGCCCGTCGAAGCTCGAGCAGGACCGTCGCGTGAGCAACAGTGAAACGGGGTTTCGGCAGAGAGTATATAAGGGCGTCGCACACCAGACGAGAAGCTCAGCACCACATCTTTAAAATTCGAACACATTATTCTCTATGAGTGTACACCGGCGGCGCCATTCGGCGTCTGTCCGCGGCGCCCAGCAACGGCTCAGGGCCGTGTTCAAAATCCTGCTGCGCCACAGAGCGCCATTTACATAGTTTTATATAAAATTTAAATTATTTTTGGCTCAAATCGTTGCTAATGTCTCCTGACTTCGCCCTATGCTGCAATATGCATTTAGTTTTGCATCCATTTACAGAAATCAGCTGCTTGAATGACAATTGCTGATGTTATTGGATTTTCAGCTAAGATTCTCAATTCATTCAGTGAACGGATGCTCTGAGGTTAAGACTGCAGACTAAACAACGATTGTATTTTATTGTACAGTACAATCATAACATAGAACAGACATTACCTTCATTTCATGTCATTAAACATAACAATATTGCTGGCCATACACTGATGAGAAAGTGCACGTCCGGTGTGGGATAGCCTACCTGGAGTTATCCTGCGTGGTGCAGCCGCTGCAGCGCTGCGCTTCTCGTCTGGTGTGCGACCTCCCCACCCCCCCTGTCTATTTTTAAGTGTATAACCAACTTCTAAAAACACATTTAACCAATGGCTTTTTGGCTCTTTTTATGGCTTTTTCTAAAATTATAGTCCTACTTAAAAAAAATAATCCCAATATATCGCCTTATGGACAGTATCGAAATATATCGCAATATATTGAATCGTGACCCATGATGCATATCGTATCGCCAAATTCTTGCCAATACACAGCCCTAGGCCCCATTGACCTCCATTGTATTTTTTTTTTCCTATGGAAGTCCGACGTTCTTCAAAAATATCTTCTTTTGTTTTCAACAGAAGAAAGAAATTCATAAGATGGAAACAACTTGAGGGTGAGTAAATGATGGCAGAATTTTCATTTTGAAGTGAACTAATCCTTTAAGTGTAAGAAGTATAATAGAATAATGTACAGTCTACAATATATACAACAATATACATTTTAATGATTGTTTTTGTTACTTTCTCAGAAAATTAATAAGTCTCTTTATTCCATGATGTCTCTTTTCTCCCATTTTTTTTTTTTTTTTTTTTACTCTGCCTTTGTGTTCCAGACTTCATGTGATGAGCATATCAGCGATGCCGATAGAATATATCGGGAATGCCAGCAGAGCGGACCACTTCGTTTTTTTGAATGTGTCCCTCCAGCTGGCATGAACCATTGTCTAAAGATTGGCGAGGGGACTTTTGCAGAGGTCTTCTCAAATAACGCCTTTTCAATATTTTCCAGGATGCCGAGTGGGTGAACAAGACCAAGCTGGGTGACAGATTTGTGATCGGCGTACAGAGGGAGAAAACCTCGAGTATGCAGATCGCTCTGAGGAGGAAGCTGTAAGTTTTACTGTACAAACTGTTGATTTCTCACCACCATAGTTTTAAATGTAATAACTCATCTGTCTTTTTTCCGTAGTGCTTGGAGCTTTACTTCAGGCGCATCAGGCCTGAGAACATTCAGCCGGAGAAACTCTGCAATAGTTTCTTTGTTTCGTCATCCGGCGTGGAGGTTCAAAGTGTCTCTCGGGACATGAATCGGCTCCATAAATTGTAAGTGCCTTACACGGGTCCATGTGTGTGTGTGTTTGTTTTTGTGGTTTACGAGGACATTTGACCTGAATACGCACCGGCACTATGGGGACATTTGGGTTTACGAGGACAGAGGCCATGTCCTCATAATTCCGACAGTGTAAACGCCATCTACGATGTCCCAGATGCTCCCTCTCAAAGTTTGGCGCCATGTCTTTATATACCACAAAACCCTGAAATTTTACCATACACAGTGTATCCCTGATTTCGCGAGTGTCGCCCCTGTAGCCAGGTCCCGGTATTACACCCGCGTCATCAAAAATTTGCATGTTTTACACAAGTGTATGCTTCGAGGCCTGTGATTGGACAGATCGGTAACGGTAGGCGGGAAATTGCGAAAACACAATGGCGCCGGTGGGCGGAGCTTCATTCAGCGTCAGCATAGTCTTTATAACAAGCAACTTAATGCAAAATAATTATTATTTAAGTATTTTTGCCTGTAATTTATTAATTGTGGATTAATTGTATGATAAATAAATAAATAAAACCCTGTTTATATTATGATAAGTTAGACGTAACTTAATCAGGTCACGGTCGTCACGGTCACTTCCTGTTTGAACGAGAGACAAACTCTGGACCTGAAAGGACCGAAAGGACATATCTGGACCCGATGAAAGCAACTGTTATGTGTTAGGTAAGTTATAATGTTGTTTAATTGCTTCTCTAATAGCACCTGGGTCTGTTTGGCTTGTTTGTGATGTCCTGTAGGCTCTTTGCTGCTCGTTTTACAGTTAGAAAGCAGCTAGCGCGTGATGCTAACGGAGCTAGCGGACTTTTAAGTTAGTGATTCTGTTTACAGACTGACATGAGGGAATCAGCGATGCTTGTGTCATTTTAAACTCGTTTTAGATTGAACTTTAATTGTAACTGCTACCTTTAATGATCACATAAAATAGTCTAGCCTTCATAATAACGCGTTGTCATGACTACAGTCTGTGTTTTTTACCCAGTACAGTATATTACTACAGTTATGCTTACATTAAGAAACATGTGCTCTTATCACTCCTGACTATAATTCAATATACTCTGAATATTAATATAACTGTCAGTCTGATTAAGTCTTATTAATACTGTCACTATTGCCTGTAATTTATCAATTGTGAATGCAATTTATTAAATGAATAGTTATGTTCAATTAACATATTCCTTAAATATCATATAATAAAGTATGAAAATAACTTGAATGCCGTTTACCATAATTTATCGATTTATTTAAAACAAACTTGTTGAATAATATGTCAATAGGTCAGGATTACTCCAGGGCAGATTCAGCCATCATTATAAAGCTGAATTCAGTGTTTCCATGCTTAAGTGACACTGTTTAATAAAGCTGTGTCAGGTACATGATATGTTATTTACAGTTACTTGTTTTATTATTAAAGGTTAAAAATGACCCAATGTAATAGACAGGCACGATATTGCAAAAAACTGATATTGCAATATTTGTTGTTGTTTTTTTCTACAATACATAATGCAACATATAAAAAGCAATTTCTACAAATGACTTAAATAGCTCTATTTGGCAATAATGAATCATTCTAGAATGATTGGCGTGATTTTGTTGGGGTTTGTATCTGTATAGAAAAAAATAAGCATAGATAAAAAAAATGTAACAAGGATGTGAAATAATCAGTGGCTCATATTTTCCAGGTAAGTCTAGCAACATTTAGGTACTGAAATTGAGTAAATAACTGTAAAATAACACTGCATCATCTTTAGGTTATGCATGTATAGCCTGACTTCACATATGCCTAATACTGCAGTGTCACTAGACTCACTACCACAGATAGGTATGAATGATAAAGCAATATATTGTGCAGCCCTACAGATTAATGTTCAGGGCTTTAGTGCATCACATTACATGCGTGTTCATTACAGTATGTCAGGTTGTGTGTAGCTTTACACCTGGTTTATGAGGACACAGTTTTATGAGGACATCATAAGAACATGTTCCTGATGTTTGACTTGACTGGAGAATCTGTGTGTGTTGTGTAAGTTTGACAGAATCCTGGTCTATGAGGACACAGTTTTACCAGGACACAAATATGGAATATTAGGATCGATACTGATATACTGACCCATAATTCACAGCTCATTTTGTCAAAAGGTCAGGATTACTCCAGGGCAGATTCAGCCATCATTATAAAGCTGAATTCAGTGTTTCCATGCTGAAGTGACACTGTTTAATAAAGCTGTGTCAGCTACATGATATGTTATTTACAGTGTTGATTTTACTTGTTTTATTATTAAAGGTTAAAAATGACCCTATGTAATAGATCGGCACGATATTGCAAAAAACTGATATTGCAATATTTGTTTTTTCTACAATATATAATGCAATATAAAAAGCAATTTCTACAAATTACTTAAATAGCTCTATTTGGAGATAATTAATCATTCTAGAATGATTGGCGTGATTTTGTTGGGGTTTGTATCTGTATAGAAAATAATAAATGGAAAGCATAGATAAAAAAATGTAACAAAGATGTGAAATAATCAGTGGCTCATATTTTCCAGGTGAGTCTAACAACATTTAGGTACTGAAATTGAGTAAATAACTGTAAAATAACACTGCATCATCTTTAGGTTATGCATGTATAGCCTGACTTCACATAGGCCTAATACTGCAGTGTCACTAGACTCACTACCACAGATAGGTATGAATGATAAAGCAATATATTGTGCAGCCCTACAGATTAATGTTCAGGGCTTTAGTGCATCACATTACATGCGTGTTCATTACAGTATGTCAGGTTGTGTGTAGCTTTACACCTGGTTTATGAGGACACCGTTTTATGAGGACATCATAAGAACATGTTCCTGATGTTTGACTTGACTGGAGAATCTGTGTGTGTTGTGTAAGTTTGACAGAATCCTGGTCTATGAGGACACAGTTTTACCAGGACACACATATGGAATAGTAGGATTGATACTGATATACTGACCCATAATTCACAGCTCATTTTGGCGAATACCAATATCAAAAACTATTTGTGCTTGTTAGATTAAATGTAATCATTGAAGAAGTTAAAAAATAGTAACCTCTGTTGAAATTGGCTTTCAATAAGTAATAATAAAATTTGTACTTGTTTGTCTATATATATATATATATATATATATATATATATATATATTATTTGCTCTTCTTTCTTTTTTTCAGATGATAACTGATAAGACCATGTTAATGTAATAATTGAGTTATTCCTTAAAGAATAGAACAGATTTCAGTTCCTCAGAAACAGATTGTTATCAGTCACTGAATTATGATTGTGTGTATAAGAAGTGAGTCATGATCACGTACTGTATTTCTAGCACAGGCGCAATGTCTCGTATTATATCACTCTCATACATAAACATACTTAAACTCAGGGTGCCATCCAAATGTTTCTAGTTACCAGTGTCCTGGTAAAACTACTGTCCTCATAGACCAGACTTCTGTCAAACTTACACAACACACTGAGATTCTCCAGTCAAGTCAAACATCAGGAACATCTCATCTCATCTTATGATGTCCTCATAAAAAAATGGTGTAAGACACGTGACATTCTTTAATGAAAACACTTGTAATGTGATGCATAAAATCCATTAAAATTACCTTGGCTAACATTTAAATATTGAAATGTTTTGTAATCTTGTATATTATCTCAAATCAATATTTCATGTGGAAATAAGTATTGATAGGTAGCTGTGTATCGGGACCCTGATTATTAATAACTGGCTGACTACATTGTCCTTATATATTATTTATGATTTTTTTAAACTCTTAGGTGAAGTGTTCTGTATGTAACGCTTTATTTCATATTTTCAGATGAGCCATAAGACCCAGTTGTCCTCAGGCAGTGATGATTATGTGCTCTGACTCTGGGACTGCACGAGGTAAGTGAGAGTTGTGCTGGAAGAGAATGAGCAAACGAAGCAGACACATTGTGAGATCTAGTGTTCACATATTTACACCAGTGTTTCATGTCTACTTTTATGTTTTGTAGACTCCCAGTGAGGTTGATTGCTCCACTCTCGAAATCAACACTCGAAATCAAGTCGGAGATGAACAGAAGGTATTGTTTTTTGTTTTTTTTATTTTTGGAAATCAAATTAGGGATACACAGATATGAACATTTGGGCCGAGTTCAATAACTGATCATTCTTTATATTTGAAAGCCGAGATCTGATATATTGGCAAATTGTATATACTTTGAAAGGCCTAATTACAAAAACGAAACGATCATCATTAAAAGCCAATCTCCCAAACACTTCAACATGAAACAAACAAATACAGTACAGTAGCCTAGTTTGAACCAGTGAGGAATTAATTAACTTTAAAATTTATTTTACATTCATATTTCCATTCACTTTTTTGAAAAAAATGTTAGTGTCTTGTTAGTATTAGTTAACATTAACTAACAATGAACAATAGTTCTACAGGATTTATTAATCTTTCTTAAAGAGCCATTAAACCCCAAACCAAATTTTCTGAGATTTTAACAGAGGTATGTGTGTTGAACACCATTGAAGACAATGTTAGCATCTGTTAGATTTAATAGTAGGGTTAAAATGGTTAAATTTAAGGGGTATTTTTCCACTTTTTTC